TAACCTACCCCCCCCACCCCCCCCCAAACCCCCGATTTGTCCAATAAATTTCTTTGGGTTCATCAGAAGCAGAAGAGATAAATAGGATGGAGGCAAATTCAAGAATTAAATCGGTGGAGTTTGAACTACAGGCAGTCTTGTCTTTTCTTTCTTGGCCTTGTTATTTCTTCAGAAAGCATTCAATATTTGGTTTAGGCATGAAGGATGTAGTTCATGCTTCCTTGAGATATGTTCCGTTATAGAAACTGTGGTACATCTGATAATCACCATTTCTGGCAATTCTTGTGCAATGCACTGCCTTAACAATGTATTGTTCTGTACTCCCAAAAATATATCATTCAATGTGAATGTATTGTTCACGTATTCATTTGTCTCATTGAATTATTTCTGCAGGAAATTCATGATTATTTGAAGAGTCTTTGTCCTGACTTGCATATTAGTCGAGGGGAATATGATGAGGAGGCACGTTACCCAGAAACCAAAACGCTGACCATTGGTCAGTTCAAGCTTGGATTATGCCATGGGCACCAGGTCTGAACACTAAACTTTCTTTCCTTTGTCCTATTTTGAACTGATGATAAGCTTGATGATTCCTTAATTATGAGGTAACTCCTTTGCGGTTTTCAGGTGATCTGAGTGGCATTTGTTGTAGCTACTTGTTAATTGTTGTCTGGGATAAATCCTAACACCCAAGTACTCTTTGCTCAATCATATGATGTTTATCATCTTTACTATGTGTCAGGTGTCAACATGCACTATGTGTGTGTTTTATATGCACCTTCTGGCATATATACCATTATATATACAGGTGCCGATATTGAATCATCTAATCTGATAAAATCTTGGAACTTTTTCTAAGAGAATGAATGAACTTTTGCTGCACCTGTAAGATAGAAATATGTTTCCTTGGTGGTAATAGTCTCTCCTCGTGTTTCTTGTCCTGAAGGTTGTTCCGTGGGGGGACTTGGACTCTCTAGCCATGCTCCAGAGGCAATTGGACGTCGACATACTTGTGACTGGCCACACCCATCAGTTCACAGCATACAAACATGAAGCAGGGGTGGTTATAAATCCAGGATCTGCCACTGGTGCCTACAGCAGCATCACTTATGACGTCAACCCCAGCTTTGTTCTCATGGACATTGATGGCCTGCGTGTTGTGGTCTATGTTTATGAACTCATTGATGGAGAAGTTAAAGTTGACAAGATCGATTTCAAGAAAACATCAACAACATAGAATATTCATTGAACAAGAAGACTCGTGTGCTACAGATTTCAATCAAGGCCCAAGTGTTAATACGCCATTGCTTTCCTGCTTGCTTTCCTATTTGGATAGTTTTTGTTGGGATGTTTACGAGTTTGAGTTTGAGTTATTCAAGCCTACTAGATTAATATATAAACCAAATCAAACTAAAGATAATACGAGTTTCATCCGTTTTTGTTTTAAATGGTTTTGTGGTTATTTTTTGGATAAATTGTACATCTTAATCTAAAATAAGTTCACATCTTTGTCTTGATCAACTTTGCCTCTTCTAATTATTATTATTAGTAGGTCCCTAGATTGATATGAGCAAAGAATGCTAAATAATGTACAATATTCATGTGGTGTTTTTTTTTTTTTTTCAAATAGTAACTCATAGTTGCTGTTTTGCGATAGTATTCTTCAGTCAAAAGCATGGACCCACTACTTTCCCAATGTGCAAGTTGAACGAAGCTTGCGTAATGTTAATAAAGCACGATCTCAGAAACACTACAAAAAAGTATCTTATTTCATTTCTTTGGATTGAAACTCAGTGTTGATTTAGGACTAATTTTGAGATGGTTAACTACTAGTTTTGGTTCTTTTGTTTTTTTAAAACCAAGTATTCGGATTTAGCTTTGGAAAATTTGGTTTATAAAAAAGGATTATGGATAAATATTAGGGCAGATTTAAACAAGATGGATGAAGGGGGAGCAGCATTGCCATTTATCTAAAGAAAAGCCCCATTTTCTGGATTCGGTTATGTTTAACAAAATCAAATAATATGTTGCCTAAACTCGAAAAAAAAATAGAGTAATTGGTATCAGAAAACACATTACCTTTGGTTTCTAAACAAAATAAGCCTGTTAATCTTAATACATTAAACTGAGATTGATGACTTGAAAGGAATACTTGAAAATTACATGTAACATGAGCAAAATGAAGGGTAGTATGACCTATAGTATGACAAAGCAACATAAGTAGAAAATCATTGTGCCTCAGTTGCCACCTTAATGAAGACATCCTCCAAAGATGTGTCAGCCAAACCCCAAGATTGGACTGTAAACTTCTGCTTTGCAAGTTTAACTGTTAGAAATACATCAGAAATTTTAGCCTCGTCTTTTGGCAGCTCAAATTTCTGGGTTCCATACAAATGGTAAGTCTTCTTAGCATGTGGAGATAGATGTTTCACTAAGACCTCCACATCTCTTTCATGCTCTGGTGAGGTTGTCACGGTGAACATGTACGATCCTCCGTATCTAGCCTTTAGCTGTCATTCACATGAACAAATCAAAGAAATCCAATCCAAGCTGTTATGTGATGGTCATGTTGCAAGAATTTCAATGTTGAAAAGAACATAGGCATTACCTCATCTATAGTTCCCAAGCACTGGAAGTTTCCATCAACAAAGATACCTATCCTATCACAAAGATATTCCGCCTCGTCCATGGAGTGTGCTGAGAGAAATAGAATGATATGACATCAAGGCTATGACATCGAGCAATCATTCAAGTTACCATTAATGTAACAAAGGAAAACTGATACTGATTGTTTATAACAAATTAGAGTGAAGTGAAGTGGAGTACTGGTAAGAATGATTGCTCGATCTTGTTTTGCACGCTTCACAACATCCCACAGCATTTTCCTTGAAGCAGGATCAAGTCCTGTGCTGGGCTCATCCATATAAACAACCTTCAAATTTTAAAAGACCCTCCATCAACAGGAATGCACAATGTTAGGACAAATAATATAAGTGGACAGAGACTTAGACGCATACTTTAGGGTCCCCGATCAATGAGATGGCCACACTGAGTCTTCTCTTCATACCTCCACTATATTTTCCTGCTGCTTTGTCACCAACTCCACCTTGGAAAAGATTGAAACTTTTGAGAGATTCCTCCACTGCCTTTTCCAACACAATAGAACAGAACCATCAGTCAATATGCTCTAAACAGTTTCCTGTCAAGGAATAGAATTCCACCTTAATGATTTTGCTGTAACACTGTAAGAAACATACTGGCAGCAAATTATAGTCAATAAACCAACGAATACAAAGGACCTTTGATGCAACGTATTGTCCACATCTGGTTTATCAGTTCATTTGTTACGATCTACGAAATAATCACATGTACAAACTATTTCAGAGCAGCATTAGCCAGTTAATTAGCTTTTTATTCAATTTGTATACACTCTGTACACATACGCATCACACATACACAGTGAGCGAGCATACTAAAAGCTGGAGAACAGTTTCATCCTGTTTCAAATTCAAAGTTGCACAAGTAAATAAATCAAAATATTGACGTACTGTGCAAACAACGTCTCAGGTTTTACTTCTACGTAGCATACATTAATAAGAAACTGAGGAGTTATATTCACGTACTCGGCTTAACGCAGAACCCTTGAGATTTTTTAATCTTCCATAAAATAATAAGTGTTCCCTTCCTGTTAGGGTCTCCCAAAGCAAGCTTTATGATTGATGAGAAACATGGAAAATGAGACAGGTTAATACTTTAAGATGCAAAGGGGATAAATCAGGCAGTAAGGGAACATAAGTTCTTCCATTTGCCTACATCGAAAGTATATGTTACTTACTCATGTTGTGGACACACACCCATACTGCCATATATTTCATTCATTTGAGTCCTCAAATCTAAACCTTCAATATACGCTGCTCCAGAGCTTGGCTCCAAGAGCCCAGTCATCTATCACTCAAGAACAATTATTGATAAGTTTCAACGTCTAGAAAATGCGAGTGAAAATGCAATTACATGGCAATCTATAAAAAAATTCGACCGAGCACAAGGAACCATGGCAGATATGGTAAAACATTTATTATCATTTGATCAAAGTTTTACTAACCATACTAACGAAGGTAGTTTTGCCGGCACCATTTGGACCAAGCATTCCAAAGCACTCTCCGCGTGGTAATGCTAGAGATAATCCTTTGACAGCAACTTTATTAGGGTTCCCATCCTTCCCTGGATACATCTTTTTGAGGTTATAGCATATGGCAGAATAGTTGGGATGTGGCTGATTCAACAACTGCTCGACCTTCTCCCTCTGTAAAGCAAGCCAGGAAACCACAATGAAGTGATCTACACAACAGGGAAGTAATAACTATATTCAAGTGACCGTTACTTGATCATGGCAAATGTAGATATGATCAAAGAAATGTTAGGGATCTGAACAAGAGTTTGTACTATAATGCCTGAATCAATGGTCCACGAAGTGACTATCAATTTGAGGACTCCTCTTCATGAAAAGGCTGAGTGAGAAAAGGTAATATGAGTTACCTCTCGGAGAACATCATTGTCTTCCATTTGAACACTAGATTCCTGGCTCTGAAAAGATGGTTTCTGAAATGATGCTAAATGCTTCTTCTGAGAACACGGCAAGAAGAATAAAGGACTCCTGCGATTCCCAGTTCCAGATGATATAACTTGATCCAAGTAGTAGGCGGAAATCAGAAATACTACCCACTCCACTGACATAATAATTAGAACCTCTCTCACGCCATTACCGTTGCTAATAAGGTACTCCCAATACATTCCATAAGTCCCTATTTTAAATGCCCCTTGGGCAAATTTGGACAGCTCATATAACCCTCGATATAGAGAAAAACCAGGGTACAATTCCAAAACAATAAGCCAACCACCTAAACCAGGAAAACACTTGTTACATCATTAATTCGAAAAGTACATGGCATAGAAAGATCCTCACACATAAACGGCAGAAGTAGAATCTCCAAGTATTACAAATTGATATAAATATTTCCTCATAAACAACTGCTTGGGTAATCAAAACTTGAGGATTTCTAATTCCACTTAAATGCAATGAGAACAGGGAGACAGTCATAATGATCCAGACAGCCAAATTCAGATGGAAGCATTTCGCCACATCGTTTTCCAATGAACTTACAAATGATGCTATGATAAATCAGAACTACACAATTACTCCAGAAAGTAAGCTATAAAAAGTTCCTCTAGAGAGAACCATGAAACACCAAGTAACAAATATTGCACAAGCGTCTATGTTTTTTCTTCCTGCAACCATAATCTATCTAAGAGAATGAAAGATATCAATGAACAGCTGCAATGTGTTACAAGTGGTGTAATAGAAAAAAGAACCAGTCTCTCAGGGAAGCAGAAATTCGTAGTACAAACTTTTAACCTTCAACATTTGTATCTTTGTCACCTAGAATTAATCACGTCTATCAAGTCTTTAGCATGTTGCATTAAAGCTTATTTTTGAGAAAATATAAACTGATAAATCAATGGTTTCAACTCTAGTTACCTCCTTGCTGATAGCTAGTAAAATTGTTCGTGCGGATGGAGACAATGATTAAGAACCAGAAAATAAACAGTTTGCTCTCTATTTACAGTGAGCGGGTTAAAAATAAATTTCCCGTGCTTAGTTGCCGTTGATTCCAAAAGGAATAGAAGAGAAAAATTTGTTCCTTAGGAAATTCTTCATAGCGGATAAGGTGTAGGGAAGGGTAAAAGAGAACAATAATTCAAGACCTGATGCAGCCTAAGTTCCTTGATAACGTATTAAGTATCATCTCTCTAACAAACAAAACAAACAACATACCCAGTGTAATCCCACAAGTGGGGTCTGGGGAGGGTGGTGTGTACGTAATCCTTACCCCTATCTTGTGCAGGTAGAGAGGTTGTTTCTGATGGACTATCGGCTCAAAGCAAGAATGCATTAAAATTAGCATAAAAGATAATTCAAATTAACTTTTTAACCTACTTACGAGGAAATGATGCATCATTTACGAGTGGCTGGAAAAGAAGAAAAGCCATGATCCCCGTACCGAAGACAATTGTATAAGCAACAACTGCAACATTCAAATATGGTAGTTATTCATCTTATTTGAGTTGATTATTCATGCATTAAAAAGGACCTTGTAACGAGTTTCTCACTGATACAGACCTGATGCTGTCTTTAAATTAGAGAATAAGGCAGCTAACAGGAAGGCGAAAGATATTTGCAAGTTTGTGAAGACAAAGTAAAAGATGCACTGGACACCATAAGAATTCAGGTTGAATATTGTTAACCCTGTAAAACAAGAAAACATAATGAACCAGCTAGTTTAAATGAGAGAGAACGAGCGCAGCTTAGTTTTGTATGTATTTACCTGTCAGTACTCCAAATACAAAGTAACAGGACATGTAGATTAAAGATATAGCAAGAAAATATATGTAAGAAATCACCCAATAAGGGCCATCTCCAAGTCCGTGCATCTTCATCATGATCCGTAACTTCTGTTGCCTCTCGTAAACAAGAGATGATAATATAACCTACACTCAAACAACATCCTATTATTAAGATGGAAAGAATACGACTTTAACTATTCAGTTGCATAAAATTATATCTCTTAATTTATTGCTTAGAAGTGGGACAATGGTGAGAGTGTATGCTTATTTAGTCCAAATGGGAAAAGAAACTTCAAATTGTTTTTCCTTCGTAGTCAGGCAAGTAAATCTGTTCTAAAGTGTAGAAAACACCTAATATAAGTAATAAACGCTTCATCTTTCTTGCACTTTAAGCTTTTAAATGAAGCAGTTCACCAAAATCAATATGATATCTGAACAGATGGACATCCCCAATTTCGAGTCTCAACACAACCTATCATCAAATTATCTCCACGTGCTTAACTCATAAAAATAAAAATAAACTAGGCCTGCACATGAGTACGTGTGTTGCAGATCTAAATTATAAATAAAATAAAGCATTCCTTCTCTGGCCATTTAAGTTTTAGATGAGGCACTTCACACAATTTAAAAATACACCATAGAGAGACAGAATTTTCTTTTTCATGTATTTGTTTTACCAGTCTAGGATGATATTGTAAGAACATTAGCAACAACCCAAGTGAAGTGGATTAACCGTGTAATATTGAGGAAAGAGTACTCGCATCTGCAGATTATAAATGACTGAATGAAGTTTCTTAGTAAGAAGTAAGAACTGAGAATCAATCTTTTGCAATTATTCATGTTCGTAAGCAATAATGTGGACGACCAAAATAACTTAACTTGAATGAAAGCCAATCATCAAGAAAGTAGATACTTGTAGATGATAATTGCAAATAACTTCCACCATAAGCATTCAATTATGCGACTCTTAACAAACTAAATAGATAGTTACCGGGAATATTTGTAGAATGACCCATGTGAAAAAGACAATATTTATAAATGAAAGTGCATCGGGTGGCCTTTGGAAGCCAGCAGGGGTTGGCATCTCAGCTACATACTCAAGATTCATCTTTATGGCAGGACCACGTAAAAATCGGATATAGCCATTTGATGCCTACATAAAACAGAAGAAACAGTCAATACTCTTTAACTATGATCTTGCAAAAATTACTCTATATATGTCACCAGATTTTGCAAAAAATCAGGAGATGCAAAACATTGCACCATGATGAAGGAAATACAAATTTTCACACTAAGCATTAAAACATAGATCAGTTCAGCTTCGCGAGCAACTTTTGGTAACCAAGCTAGCCCCTGAACTAAAAGAAATTAAGAACATCTAAGCTAGATAGAGCTTTCGTTTATCTGGCAAACATTCTATTGTGACCATAAAGAAGGGTAAAGGACATACCATATTCTCAGAACGTGATATTTTTAACAATAGAGGATTATGATCTTGCACATTAGTAGAATTGTATTGTATGATGACCTTGAACTGCTCTCCACTTGTATCCAAGAAATCGTAAGCTGCGGGAATGGAGAAAAATCAATAGGAAGTATACCCCCTAGAGGGAGTTAGAGATCTGAAGTTATATGCCAAACATCATATATAGGGGCTAACCTGCCAAAAATGCATTAATTTTTCCATCTGTATTTCCTTCTCTGAATCCTTTGAATAGCTCAGTGTTAATCTCCAAAGAGCTATTACGCCACAAATTTAAACCTTCGACGCATATCACATCTAAATATGAAAGGAACGTAATTCACATTACAGCACTCCATTGTAGATGAACATATAATATGCCTGACAGCATTGTAACAGCATAAAAGAAACTCTAAGAGTCAAACTAACAACAAAAACAACGACCCAGTAAAATCCCATTAGTGGGGTCTGGGGAGGGTAGTGTGTACGCAAACCTTACCCCTACCTCGAGGAGTAGAGAGGCTGTTTCCGAAAGACCCTCGGCTCAAGAAGACGAAAAGAAAAGAGACAATATCAACACCACCAACAGATACCATAAGAAAAAGTAACAACATCATGAAAGCCAGAAAATAGGTGCAAAGCAAAAGCGATAGCCAGTAAATAGACTCGCCCTAAGAGTCAAACTAAATGGATTCAAATTTATTTGGATTTAGTAATTGCGCGGGCTAAAGCAATTGTTAGGCTTCTGCAAAGAAATAAGTTCAGATATGTTGGACAGACAGTAGCAGTAATGAGTGGCAATAAAGACATTACCGGATTCCGCTACTTCTGATGAAGAGTTTTTGGAGCATCGAGATCGAACATGAACGAGAGGACTAGACAGGCCATCATTTCTTCCCTGTAGTAATTATAAAATCAAGTGTTATAAAGTACTCCCAAAACATGATAAGTATAAAAGAGACACTAAAATCCAGAAAAGAAGAAAAGAGAAGGAAGAGAAAAGAGAACTCACAAAAATGCCATTTGCAATAGTATCTACATCAGAAGTTGAATTTGGATCAGGAGTATCTGTGAACATCTTTCCAGCCACACCTATAAAAAATTCACAAATTACATTTAGAAGAAAGAGCAAGTCATGAGTGTCCTAATTATGAAAACAAATGACATGAGAAAAAAAAAACATTTACTTTCTGCAAAACTTCTATTGCTCCCTGTGATAAGTATGGTTACTGGACATGAATCAGTTTCCCTGCATGACGCATCAGGCAAGCCTGGAAATTGGATAGAATCTGTGGCGACAGCACGGAATTTGGGAGAAGGGATTTGCAACAAGGGAGGATATCCATTCGGATTATCGGCCTCAAAATGCTCTCTTTCCTGCTTGTTGAAGTAGGTTTGCATACCACCAAGTAACACAAAGAGGATAGCTGGGAACAAAATGACCTTCAAGTGTGATCTTGCATGCCGTTTCTGAAAATGACATTAAAAATATACTAGTATAGTTTTTCAGACAAAACAATAAATGTTATATCGAAGAATTAAGAAATCACTTTGAAATTCACAGCCAGATTCATGATTTCAAGATCACTTCATAACAGATGCTTGCTTCTTTAATTGAAACCAAAATTAGACACAATTATTTGATTTCTAAGACTAACTTTCAGTTTCAGGAAAAAATAATCCTAAAAGAGCTGCATCCACCATTTTGGACCTTTTCCTTACACTACATAACTCAACAACATTCTCTATAACCCAATTTTGGGTTCACATTAAACAGACTTTAAAATGAAAAGCATGTAACAAAATTCCAGCACCCAATCTAAAACATTTCTTATGAAGCTGTTTTTGTTAAAGGGTAGCCACTTGCGTACAGGCACTGATAAAGAGAGAGAGGAGGAAAAAAACATTGTAATTTTTTATGAAGTGATCCAACAATTTTTTGTATGTCCTTCCATATAATACGAGAGACTGTATAATTCACTACAATCATGTTACATTGAAATGAAAAATTAAAACTATAAATATGGATTATGAAAAAATGAGAAGGGGGAATTGAACTGACATGGTAAGTAAGGTTCTTGCGGAACAAAGCATTGGCTTGAGTGCAAAAGTTTGCCATTGATGGACGTCAAGCTCTGTAACAAAGAATAACTACTACTACAACTCCTGAATAAAACAACTGAAATATATTATATCCTCTTTTTCACTTCATTTCGATTTCTGTGTACTCAAAAAAGTTGTAACTGCATGTTGGATTTTTGCAAGAGAAGCCATTTGTAAGGATTTTCAAGCGGAAGGAACAGCTGTTTCTTTATACCCAAACTACCCTTGATTGAAAGACTAAAGTGCCCCTCCCTTCATATTTCGCATGTCCATCAAACTAGGAACAAATCTAGATCCCAACGTTAATTACTACTTATAGGATATTAATTGTGGGTCCCATATCTGGATTAGTGCAAACAGTCTTTTCTGATCAATTTTATTTTTATCTTCTTTTTTTGTTCAAATAAGTGCGTATATGAATAAGAGAACACGACTTAAAAGTTAAATGTAGTAACAAAAGTTACAGATTCCGCGTTTTTTCTACTTTCCATTAAATGTGTAAAACGGTAAAAATTAATATATTAAAAAAACACTTATGATAAAAATAGAAGAGGAATTAATAGCGTGTTTGGTCAAGTTTCTTCACGGTCAAAAACACTTTTCTTTTTTTTCAAAATTGAAGTGTTTGGCCAAGTTTTTAGAAAAAAAGTGTTTTAGAGAAGAAGTAGAAGCAGTTTTGAAAAAATAGAAAAGAATAGCTTCTCCCCAAAAATACTTTTTTGAAAAACACATTTGAGAAAAATACACTTAGAAGCACTTTCTAAAAACTTTGTCAAACACTAATTCTTCTTCAGAAGTGCTTTTCAACTTAATTAATCAAACATAAATTGTTTTTCACCAAAAGTACGTACTTCTAAGAAAACACTTCTCAAAATAAATTAATTTTAGAAGCTTGACCAAATAGGCTATAAAAGACTATAATTTTCTTTCTTTTGTTCCCATTGGAGTAAAAACAAAATTTATGAATTTATTTTCCTCTAACATTAATCTTGTTCCAAAAAGGAAGCATCTTCTTTGTTTTTTTGAAGGAAAAAGGAACTTCTTAACTTCCCCTTCATTTATTATTTTCCCTAATATCGAAACAAGATCTCAATTTGAATGTAGTTTAATGGTAGGACCATTGCTATTTGTGCCACTAACTTTTTAAAGGATATATAATGTACCATCTATTAAATCGTTCACATGGATGTAATATACTAATTAAAGACTACGGTTTAAATTTATATTATTATTTGCTCACATGGTCAGATTGTATACTAAACAAACAATATGCATTTAAATTGGTTTTCCCTTATTAGCAAAAGAATGGTGAAAATAGATATGTGTATTCATTAGTAGTTTTTGTATGCTTAGAATAATGAACTCATGTGATGGTATATTACTTACTTTAATATATTCAATAACTGACATAAATCATCAAAGCTTATGTAAACCCTTATGATTTATCTAACAATTCTCAAATGAAAAAAAGAATTCAACAAATCGAAATTATATTCAGTTTACAGAAATTGTAGTAAAAGATTGAGTCAGTCTTATCTTCATACTCATCTTATACATACGTGAAAATGACGCAACCTTAACATAAAAAATAAACACCACTTGCACTTAAGGCTGTACTTTGAATAACATAAAATGCTTCAACAGATCGTAATACTGCGCTATCAATTACACACTTCTATATATTTGACAGACACATATTTTAAAATACTAGTATACTGCGAAGAAATTAGGTCCCAAAAATGTCTAACCGTTGTCAGTTACAATCATAATTTATTTCCTCTATCCTCGATTACGATGATATATACTCCATCTGTTCCATTTTATGTGAATCTATTTTCTTTTTGGTCTGTTCCAAAAAGAATGACCCATTTCTAAATTTGATAACAATTTAGCTTAAACTTACAATTCTGCCCTTAATGAGAACCTTTTATAACCATACAAATAATTCTGAGCCCCTTTTTTACTTGTTTAGGACCACAAATTCCAAAAGTCTTTATTTTTTTTTAAACTTCGTACCTAGTCAAACATATTCACATAAATTGGAACGGAAGGAGTAGCTGTCTGGATACATAATTTGAAGTTAATATATAATTTGATTGATCGTTTTATACTTGTGATAATATGGAACGAATTATGGGTTTTGGTTAGTATGTTCCATGGCTGTCCCGTCGTGAATTGTTAAAACACATCTTAAATAACGCAATAACTAAGGCCCCGTTTGGCCAAAATAAATTTGGGATTTATTTTTAAAACTCATGTTTGGCCATAAATTTTGCCCATATTTTGGCCAAATTTCAAATCCCAAAATCAGCTATTGAGTTGATTTTGGGCCAAAGTCCCAAAACTTGAGAATTATATACATGTTTTTCCAAAATAAAGTTGAAAAATATGTTTTGAAAACGTATGTCCAAACACATTTTCATCTTCAAACCAAACTTCAACCAAATCAGATTTTTAAAAATAAATTTAGGATCTATGGCCAAACGCTAGCTAAATATTTCCACTTTTCTTATCACTGTCAACTTTTTACATCTTACTTCAGATTCTGACATCTGAGTCAGACCTAGTCAGTCAGTCAGTCAGTTTTTCCTTTTTGTCTTGTCCGTCAACAACGACAAAATCGTAGGTTTGTTTGAGTTTTCCAATTTGTTTTTTGGCAAAACACATCTGTAAATGGTAGATCAGTCATTTCCCCATTACGTAACGGAAAATTGGCGGAAATTAGCATTTAAAACACTTGAGAGCAAAAATAGAACATTAAAAATAATATTAGTACCAGAGGTCCTAGAGACTTCACATTTGCCATTATAAATTAACCTCTCCATTTTTCAATCCCAATATCCATAATTTTTTTCTTCAAATACTTCAAGTGTTAAAACCTCAATCAAATTTTGTGATGGCTCAAATGGAGCTGCAGAGGGGATTTCGTTTATTTTGGCAACAAACAATGGCTTTACTGAAGAAAAACTTGTTTATCTCAATGAGAAGCAAAAGAGCAACATTTCTTCAACTGTTCTCTTCACTCTTGTTTATGGGTCTTTTGTTTGGAATCCAAAAGGCCATGGATTATAAGGCAAAACATCCATCTGCAGTCGGAGCTGTCACTGATCCAAAGCCTCTGATGAACCCATCAATACCTCCGTGTGAGCACAAGTTCTTTATGAAACGTCCGTGTTATGATTTTGTGTGGAGTGGAAGTGGTAATCCAAGAATTCAATCCATTGTTAATGGAATTCTTGCTAATAATCCTGGTCGCTCCATATCTCCTACCAAGGTAATTACAAGCATTAATGCTTTCTGTGTTGAGGTCTTTCATTTTAGGAAAAATGATCAAATTTGGCCCTGCACTACCCCAAATTACATCAAATTTTCCGTCAAATAGGCTCATTATAGTTCTTGACGCCTAGCAAAGCTCCAACCTGAGGGTAATTTTCGAAAGTTGAAAGATAAATTGAAACTTTTTTTCCTTGAAGAATTTGGACACGTGGATTTCACCCTGTTTATGGCAAAGGCAAATAGGAGACGATTTGCTAATGGTAAGGGTACGAGTGAATCAAAAGTGTACGGAGTACATGGGCAAAATTTGACATTTTCTCTTCATTTTGTGTGGCCCATATTGTAAAATTTTTTAACTACTTTTTGTTATAAAAGATTCTGATTTATGTAATTTTTAATAGATATTTTTATTTAAAAGTTAAAACAATGTTAAAGAAATTTATATACGTATGAATTTATATGGACAATTAGATGTTTTGACCATCTTGTTTTGAAACATCAGTTAATAATCTGGGTCCTCCTAACAATGTAGAAACACTGCTATTCATTTTAAGCTTTTTGTATGAAATATTTTCATTTAAAAGACCCTAGTAAATGATTCCTTTCTCCTGTTTTGCGAAAAATTATTACTATTTGGAGAGTCACTTTCAATTTGGAAAATGTTTTTAATAATAATAAATGCTGATTTATAGTACTTTTATGTAAGTTATCGAATGTAGATTTTATTTCATAATAGTTCAGGAATCAAATTTTGCAAAATAGATGCTTTGACACTCATTTTCCATCTTTTCAAGTACTAAGTTAGTAAATTTGCTGTCTGCTAGTTGCAGCTGAAAATTCATCTTTTAAAACAAATTTAACATGTTAGGTAAAAGTATTGTTACAGAATTTTGCTTTTCATCAAGTTACTTGATTTTTAATACAATGTACACAAGATGCTTCTGTGTTGAACATGATTTAAACTCTTTTATTTGCAGGTTAAGTCATTTAGCACGAAAGACGAATTGACAAAATGGCTTCTCAATGATCCAATGCGTACCCCTGGAGCTTTGCATTTTGTGGAACGAAATGCCACAGTTATAAGCTATGGTGTAGTAACAAATACTTCTACATATATTCCAGTTCCAAGGCAACCTGAAGATCCTACTTTCAAATTCCTAATCCCCCTTCAGTTAGCTGCATCTCGTGAAATCGCGAGGTCTTTGCTTGGAGGTAATATAAGATAACAATTTAGCTTCATTACCATCAATTTAAAATTTCATAAGCATAAAAAACCTTAATGGCTTCTCATCAATAAACATTCTGGTCAATAAGATTGCAATCCCCTTTTCACAGATTCAAAGTTCAGCTGGAATGTGGGTCTTGAGGAATTTCCACATCCTGTACTAGAAGATACGGATGAGAGCTATACATTACTAAACTCTGACTCCCGAATGGATGCTATGCCATTGGTCGAAATGTTCAGTCCAATCTTCTTCTATGCAATTTCTATGTTTGGTTTTGTATTTCAGATTAGCTTAATGGTTCTTGAGAAGGAGCTCAAACTTCGACAGGTGATTAGTGCATTGTTATCGTAGAAAAGATTTTGTGCACTTTCCCGTATATTATTATTAATCAGAAAGTTATTTCACTATGTATAGATGTCATGCTCTTATGAAGTTTCTAGGAATACTTATATTTTATTCTATTTCATCTTTGCATAGAGGATTATTTAAAACGAAAAATCAAGATTACTATGAAATGCACTTAAATCGCTTGCAAAATATGAAAATTCCTAACAAGTATCATGTCTTTTGACATTTATGTCAGATAATTGGGTATTAGAAATGTTTGTGCTGCTTGGAACAAAGTTGGTTCCATGAAATCTTGTTAATTATTTGAGTTTACTAACTTATGGATATAAATTACTTCAACTTTTTCTCCCATTTTTCTCATTTGATTTTCAGGCAATGACTGTGATGGGACTTTATGACTCTGCCTATTGGTGCTCGTGGCTAATATGGGAGGGACTTAAGGCATTCATTTCCTCACTCCTTATAGTCCTGTTTGGCATGATGTTTCAGCTTCACCTTTTCTTGAGAAACAGCTTTACGATTGTACTACTTTTGTTCTTTCTTTTCCAATTCAACATGGTGAGTTCCCTCCTTTAAAATAGAAAGCTATGTTTAACTTAAGCCACATTTGCAATATCTGAGGACTGATAACTTGTCGCATCTTGTTGTGCTAGGTTGGTTTTGCCTTCCTACTGTCAAACTTCATCCGCAAGTCCTCTTCGACCACATCTGCTGGTTTTGCTATATTTGTAATTGGTGTCGGGACTCTGGCAAGTCAATTTTCAGAATTCTAAAACATAATAAGTCACTTATAGTAATTGGTTTCTTTTTATTATAATACAGACATTTTCACCGGCCCTCTATGATGATACAGACCTTAAAACAAGATATAGAAGAATACTTTGGTCTTTTTTTCCACCTAATCCTTTTGCTGGAGGCATAAATGTGTTACAATATGGATCAGACAGTGACGGGATCAGCTGGAGCAGGTTATCAGGATGTGATTTGGGTGAATCATGCTACTCAATGGTATGGTAGCCTTTTGAATTCTCTTTTGATTTTCAGCCTTTTGAATCATGCAATCCTGTGTTATAGTACCATATTTATTCCAAAATAAGGCTGATTAACCATTTCCTGAACTTTTTTGTCTTGCCAGCTCCACTATTATCGATGGCTTATATCAACATGCTTCTTGTGGCTTGTTTTGGCTATCTACCTAGACAATATCATACCCAACTCAGCAGGCGTAAGGAAACCCCTTTTCTATTTTATAAAACCTGGATATTGGACAGGGCGAAGTCAAGAGAAGCCGGAAGGTACTGAAATTTCAAATTAACTCTCATTTCCTTATTGGTTTCCTATTGATTTCATTTAAAAACCAAGCTCTTTCTCAGTTGTTGTTTCAGAAAATGCCCCCATTTTAGGTTCTGGTTCTGCACTATCAAATGACAGTTTCTCCCAAGATGATGAGGGTGTTCTCGACGAGGAAAACAGGGTGAAACAACAAGTCAAGGGAGGTATTATTGATCCCAATGTTGCTGTTCAGCTACGAGACCTTTCCAAGACATATTCTGGAACAATGAGCTTAAGTTGCCACTCTTGTTGTCTATGCTGTTTTTACTGTACATGCAAGATTAAGAAAGCTTACAGAGCTGTCCAGGTGAATTTCCCTATACTCCCTCACTACAAAGTATCTTTTTGCCTAAAGTTGAATGGGGCAAATCTGGATTTCTTTTTTGCAGCAATAAGTATTCACATTTAGTTTATACGTTGAGTTAGTGGAAACCATCATTTATTTCTGCTGCCTTTCTTCATAATGAAATAACTCTAATTTCCATTTTACTATTTAATCACTTAGCATCGGCACACGAAATAATAGACGTCACCATCTAGAATTGGTTACCATCACGCACTTCCCCTTTTGGCTGAGCCTGATCCCCTGCTACATAGCGTGACAGTTTCAATACCAAGCCAGCAAACACAGGAAACTCTTGTCCTTTCTTCCAGCATTTGACCATAACATGTAATGGAATATGTTTAGTGATGAAAGGTGCACTTTTTAATCAGGGTCTTTGGTTAAATCTTGAGAAGGACCAACTGTTCTGTCTCCTAGGACCCAATGGAGCAGGCAAAACGACTGCAATTAGTTGCTTAACTGGCATAACCCCAGTGACTCGTGGAGATGGTAATATCTTTAATAGTTCAACTTTACAAATGAATTTTACGGTTTGAGTGAATTGTATAACTGATACATTTTTCTTTATAACAGCATTAATATATGGAAACTCTATCCGAAGTGCGGTTGGCATTTCAAACATAAGAAAGCTAATTGGAGTCTGCTCACAGGTAGCTGTAGTTCCGTATCCATTACTAGTCAATTCAAGTTCTGCGGTCCTTACTTTTAGAAAGCATAAAGTAACTTTTGCTTACCCTATTGCAGTTTGACACTCTTTGGGATGCATTGTCTGGACAAGAGCACCTTGAACTCTTCGCCAGCATCAAAGGATTATCTGCAACTTCAAAAAGATTGGTGAGCCTATGAAGCATTTTCTTTATTTTAATAAAATGCACCTTGTGTTGGTGGTAGTGAGGAGGGATTTGGCCTAGACCACTACAATATACATGTAACCAAGACATAAATACATGAAGGAGGGGGACACAATACCTTATCTTCTCAAAAGCAAAGTTAGAATTAGGTAAGTCTAATTCTATACGTCGTGAGATCCTTATAAAACAATTGCTTAAGTGGAAACTGGTGTACAGTTTAAAAATACAATTAAGAAGGGAGGACTCCTCCTCTTTACATCTGTAAGTTACCAAAAATAAATATCATGTGTCAACGTACTATCATTGGAAAAAAATAGATATCCTACATCCTCTAGCTTCAGTACTTGTCATTTGGGAGAAAGAATTTGCAATCTGGTATCTGTAATATCTACATATTCATCAGTTCTATATCATATTCTGCAGTCATATAATTATATCTAGTAGCTTAACACAAAATTGCATTCATGCTGGAATTTGTTTGATTGTGCAGCCATTCCAGATATATGATATCTGTCTCTAAAATCTTCTTCATTTACTTGAATGACAGGAAGCTAACAGTTTATTAGCTGATGTAAAACTTGATGATGTAGCCAAAGTGAGAGCCAGTGGCTATAGTGGTGGAATGAAACGTCGCCTTAGTTTAGCAATAGCATTGATTGGAAATCCGAAGCTTCTCTTTTTGGATGAACCAGTATGTGAATCTTTACTACTTTAATAGTATGCGTGTATTTTCTATATCCCGAAGTAAATTTCTTCAACTTGTAGACAACTGGTATGGATCCTGTAACTCGGAGGCATATCTGGAGTGTAATTGAGGCTGCAAAGCAAGGGCGTTCAATCATTCTGACAACACATTCTATGGAGGAAGCTGATATTTTATCTGATCGAATTGGAATTATGGCAAAGGGAAGACTTCGCTGCCTTGGAACTTCAACCACGTTGAAATCTCGATTTGGAGCTGGTTTTATTACAAAAGTTAGTTTGAATAAAGTTGCTGATGATGTGAATTCTGCAGCTGCTAATGTGATAGACAGGAAACGTGAGGCAGTCAAAGAATTCTTCAGTCAGGTCTTTTAGTAGGAGCGCTTTTTTCACATTTTCTTTAACTAATAAACTCATGCTCTTGACTTAAGTTATCTCGTTTACAGCACTTAGATGTCACACCAAAAGAGGAAGATAAATCCTTCTTGACTTTTGTTATTCCTCACGAGAAGGAGAATCAACTAGGAGTAAGTAACTATTACTACGTCACTTCTCATGTTCTGCTAACATTTGTATGAGTAGTCAAACTTTATCCTGATATTATTGGTGCACCCGCATCAGAAATTTTTCTCCAAGCTAGAAAACAGGAAAACGGAATTTGGCATACTAAATATCCAGATAGGTCTTACAACGCTAGAAGAAGTGTTTATGAACATTGCAAAGAAGGCAGAGCTAGAGGAAGCCAAATCTGAAGGAAGCATCAAGACACTGACATTAGCATCCGGAACCACTCTCCAGGTAAGTGCTTCAATTTGGATGAAGATATATCGCTAACTGGCTAAACAGCATCCTGAGAAAAGATGAAAATTTTCAAAAAACGAAGTCACTAATTGGCCTTACAATGCAATGAAGGTACCCTTAGGATCGAAGTATGTCGAGATCCCAGGGACAACATCCTCGGAGAACCCTCGAGGGCTTATGGTTGAGGTTTATTGGGAACAGGATAATCATGGCAATCTCTGCATCTCAGGACATTCTAATGAAATTCCAGTTCCACCAGGTCTTCAACTAACAACTTAAAAGAGAGGTTTTATTGTATACCAGTTTTAAGGAATTGCTTCAGTTAACGTAATGCTTTGTATAATATATCCTAGCCTCATTACAAAAGAGTTCAAATTTTAGTTATTATGAGCAGCGCATGGAGACAAATCTTGATTTCGTATAATGAGAATGAATTATATTTATAAGTTTCAAACAGTGATATTCATGGAGACAATTAGACAAATATTTTTCTTTTGGCAAAGTAAGTCTGTTTCACCCTACTTGTAGTAATTAGTTTTGTGCTAATTTCCATCTCTAAGATCATAACAAAGTTTTCATGATTTAAATATGTATCTGTAGACAATAAATTGTGTCGAGAAAATAAAATCAGGCCGAAAAATATTGCAACAATTGTAGTATTTGATTTCAAATGATATGAGTGTACAATCTCTATGAATCATCTAATTCTTCTTTCCAATAGAAAATAAATTCAAGGGTCTTCGAGCTTGATCTTGAATCTATATTGTTGCCACGAACGATGATCTTGAATTCAACTAGCATGAATTTTGATTTGAACTCGTACTCCTTCTTGATTTTTTGTTCTTGAACTTGAACTTGATTGCTTGAAGCTTGATCCACAAGCTCTCTCTTGCTTCTGGTTATAACTTCTGGTGTTTACGAAGACCCCTATTTATAGTTGTGTGACGGAAGAGTTATGATAAGAACAAACTCTTTCTGACCAATCAAATTGAAATGTGACAAGGCTACATTTGATTGGCTAGAACATGTCACTTGCACATGTGACGCGTTTTCATTGGCCTTTTAATTTGCTTGGCATGCCTTGTCATTTTGACACGTGGCACGATCCTATTGGGCCTTTTTGTTTGACTTGACATGTTACGCCGTTTGACACGTGGCACCAAACTGGGCCTCTAGGAAGATGACATCTTGAGCTTAATGAACTAAGCTCATTACTTTAGCCCAAATAAATTGGCTAGCCCAATGAATTAAGATTTATTTATGTAATCCATATATATTGAATTTATATAATTGAGCCAATTATATTAGCCCAAAATATTTATTTGGACCAAAATGTATTTGAGATTAAATCCAAATTTCTTATGGATAAATTTTTAATTGTCTACAAATGCCCTCTACTTCACGATTTGTCGGAGGTGGAGATCTATTGCACCTCTAGGACGAGGCTTGAAGTATGAATGTGTTCAGACATACTTCCTCCTGGTGAGAGTTTATGAGACATTATTTCTTGTAAAGTTGAAGTTGAACTATCTCGCAAATAATACAACTCTTTGAGCATTTCTTATAATAGGATAGTCTGCTTTTGCACATTGGAATCAACGCACATATATAAAGCTTTGGACTTAGTGGAATCAATCAGACCCAACAAACTTATGCTTAAATAGAGTAGTATACTCTCAAATATTGGTTTGATTAAAGTAATCATCCTAATTTCCTCACCTTACTTTTAGTCCGAGAATTTTAATCTTCCAATTCCCCACAATAAATACACGTATGCATGGATCAGACAATCTTAGGGCGTGAAGGGATGGGTACTCATCAGACAATCTTAGGGCGTGAAGGGATGGGTACTCATCTCCGCCTGAATATCGGAGAGATTACTCTCAAGGTGGGCAATTATCAGAGAGATTACTCTCAAAGTGGCCCGACCATCGGATAGATTAATCTCAAGGTGACTTGATTATTGAAGAGATTACTCTCAATGTGACCCAATTGTCGGAGAGATTACTCTCAAGACGATCCGACTATCGGAGAGATTACTCTTAATGTGGCCCGACTATCGGAGAGATTACTCTCAATGTGGTCCAACTATCAGAGAGATTACTCTCAAGATGACCCGATTATCGGAGAGATTACTCTCAAGGTAGCCCACCTATCGGAGAGATTGCTCTCAAGGTGGCCCGAATATCGGAGAGATTACTCTCAAGGTGTGAAGGGATGGATACTCATCTCCGCTCGAAAATCGGAGGCCATTTCATCTATTTAGACCTTTGTGTCCATTCTAATATTCTTGATTTGGACTTTGATGATTTTTTTTTTGTCCTTTGCAGCCCGAAGAGATGGTAAATTTTAGAGACTATACCTCACCTTCCTCAAATCTTAGATATCTCATAATCGAGACTTAAGATGGCATAGAACAAACCAAGCTTTTGGTTCACACCCCACAAGCTGGCCGGTATGCAGCCTCATGGCCTTCTTTAAGGAACTCGCTTCATGTAGAAAATCGGAACTTGAAGCACAAGTCTAATTCTAATTCATTTTCCAAGATGTGGTCTCTCCAAGCGCCAATCCATCGCCACATAAACATTGCTAGCACCATTCCAAACTTAGGGCGCTGCATAATTCAAGGAGAAGTACGTTGGGGAAACACAGCAACAATCGAGGGCGAGTATCGTCATATTCTAGGATATTGGTAATCGGGTGAAGATGTACTTGGTGGAAGCCAACAAACCCTAAGTACAACAAAGATTTACGATGTTGTCTATGCCATCACGACTACTTGGATTTTGGGTCCCTACAAGTTGGTATGTATGAGAGATGTGTTAGTCATTTGAGTGGTGGATTTGGGATCAACTATGGTGATTCATGTGTTCTATGGATTTGGAGACTGGGAGTTCCCAGAAGCAGATTGTCTCGGGGTTGCGGACTGTAAAGATGTGGCCAAAGCTAGCTAGATGGTGGTACGTGTTAGGGTTAGATCATTTTGGACTTTTGGAGGGATATTTATCCATTTGGGGATGACCGCAGTTAATTTGGGGACCCATTGGTAGGGCCAATGAGGATGTTTATTCTACACCGGGTCGAATTTGATGACTCAGAACTGTTTGTACCGAGGGGTGTGGCATTTGCTTAGAGTTGAGTTTGTTAGTGTCGGATATGTTCTATGAGTTACTCTTATATGCTACGAGGGGTTTTGGTTTATTGGTTGTCTGCACACATGATGCGGTTCTGTTTGGGCCTTGCATTGAAATTCGAGCGAGACGGTTATTAGGGGTGTTGAATGGTTGATTGGGCTTTGGTTATGTTCTTTCCGAGATGTGGCATATTGTGTTATTGCTTCCCTATGGTTATTGTCATGTACTTCGTGTACTTGATGTCGAATTGCGTGTGGTTGTTGATTTTGAGCATTGTGGCTTGAGGTATATCAAATGGGCCGGTGTTTGAATAGTGTCGCACACTACAACGAAGTTATGTTGGGATATGATCCTGTGTTAGATTCGTGTGTTTTGGTTCTACGGTGTGTGATGGATTTTTATCATTACGTTGTGGTGGTACTTGTTGAGCTTGCGGGATGGTTCTCTCATTTGAGTCATTTTGCATGTTTGAGTATACTTGAATTGTTGCGTATTGGTGCACAGATTGTGCGATTTGTGGCTTAAGGTTGTATTGGTGTGGCATGTCAGTAGGGTGGATGTATTTGATATGATAAGGTCATCGGACCTAGAATAGGTGCTATCGGATTTGATTGTGGTATATTTGGAAGTATAGAGTTGCTGGTCGGCTTAGAAATTAGCTAGTTCTTGTCGAAGGAGAGGGAGCTCCATGACTTGTGATCTGATGATCGATTATGAGTTTCTACATGTTTCTTTCATCATCGCCAGTGTGCGAAGGTTTTGAACGATGTTTTGTTGGATATGAGGTTTATTACCGGAATCGGGTTTGTTTTGAGTAGCTACTGTGATCAGGAAGTTATTGCTATGAGTATTTGAGTTATGTGGTATATCATGTGATTACATCTTCAGCTCTGATTATGGCTCGATTTAACTTGTTCATACTTATACAATGTCTAAATGCGAGATTTGGGTCTTGTAGGAAATTCTGAATGTTGGAAATTAGATTCTGAGGTTTACAGACTAAGGTTGGAGTAATGATCTTCAGTTATGTTGTGTTGTCGGGCCTATATGGAATAGGGTGACGTAGGATCACCCCCGGGTATGTGCATGGTAAGGCTACGCGGCGATTTGATGGCTTGGGAACGACTCTTTGCACGTTCGAGGACGAACGTATGTTTAAATGGGGGAGAATGTAACAACCTGACCGGCCGCTTTGAGCACTAGCATTCCTTTCAGCTATTTGGTGTCTCGATTAGCTTCGTATGATGTATTATAACTTGTGTATATCGCCGGTTTTGATTTTCAGGTGTTTCAGAATTAGTTTGGAAGAATGAATTCCATGTTTGAAGCATTAAGTTGGAGGAGTTGACCATATTTGACTCATTAGTATTTGACCTCGGTTCGGAGTTTCGATGGTTTTAGGACCAGATGGTGATTTTGGACTCGGGCGTATGCCCGAATTTGCATTTGGATAATTTTAGAAGGTTTCGACACTAATTGACGAAAGTTGGAAAATTGAAGGTTTGGAATGTTCATAAGTTTGACCGGGAGTTGAATTTGAGGATATCGGGTTTGGATCGTGGTTCCGGGAATTGGAATATCTTCGTTATGTAATTTGGGACTTGTGTGCAAAAATTTGAGCTCATTCCGGGTTAAATTGATATGTTTTGGCACGAGTTTTGGAAGTTGAAAGTTCGTTTAAGTTTGATTTGAGGTGGATTTGTCATTTCGATGTTGTTATGTGTGATTTGAGGCCTCGAGTAATTCCGTGTTATGTTATGGGACTTGGTGGTATATTCGGACGGGGTCCCGAGAGGCTCGAGTACATTTCGGACGGGATTCGGATCATTTTGGAACTATTTGTTAAGGCTGGTTTGGCAGGGATTCTGGTGTGACTGCACCTGCGGAGCTCTGGGTGCAGGTGCGGAGCCACAAAAACGGCGAAGTGGTCGTAGGAGCAGAAAGGGGCAATGTTTGGTAGCATCGCAATGCGAAGTTTTCGGCCACATCTGCGTTATCGCTTCTTCAGAAGCGGACGTTTGCATAGATGTGCGATTTAATATCGCACCTGCAATGTCGCAGGAGCGGATGTTCTTCCCCATGTGCGAAGAGACATTTCTCCAGTAGATTCCGCAGAAGCGGGCTTCAGGGTGCAGAAATGATGCCCCAGAAGCGGGCTTCAGGTTGCAGCGCATAAGCAGCTAAATTATTCGTAGAAGCGAACACGCCGGGGCAGAACTATATATCGAGGTTTTGGTCGTTTATTTCACATTTTGGGATTTTGGAGCTCGGTTTGAGCGACTTTTGAGAGGACTTTCACTACACGAATTGGAGTAAGAATTCCTAACTCGGTTGTGATTATATTTCATGAATTAAT